ATATATATATATAAATCTCTGAACACCCATGTGAGTTTGGATGTAGTTAAGTGAATTGACTTTTCATCAAATACAGAAATCTCTGCCTACTTCAGAATTCTTTCTGAAAAGTCTTCAGCATCTTGCTGAAAGGTAAAATCTAAATTAATATTGACAATAGGAAATATGGGTTGGAGAGATGGTTCAGCAGTTACAAGCCCTAGCTGCTCTTGCAGAGGACCCAGCGTCTGTTCCTAGCACCCACACTGTGACTAACAACCTTCTCTAAGTACAGTTCCAGGGGACCCGACACCCTCTTCTGGTCTCCATGGGTACTGCACAACATGAGTGCACTTACATACAGGCAAAACTCTCATACACATGCACACACAGAAACAAATAAAAATAAACAAATGTTAAAAAATGGGAAATATGGGGCTGGAGAGATGGGTCAGCGGTTAAGAGCACTGACTGCTTTTGCAGAGGACCCAGGTTCGGTTCAATTCCCAGCACCCACGTGGTAGGTCACAACCATCCATAAGTCCAGTTCGAAGGGATCCAATGCCCTGTTCTCGTCTCTGAGGGCACTTCACACACATGATACACATACATACATTTAGGCACACACACATATAAGATAAATAAATCTTAAAAAAATAACAAATATGCACTCAAGTGCCATGCTATAGTACAGTGTCCCACATGCATTGAACTTTTCTAGAAAGAATGAAACAGAGACCTCCCATTTTTATGCTAATTTGTCAGGCTTAGAATGTAGAGCTAGGAACTAAGACTGTCAGAGACTGAAACGAATAATATTGTTCAAAGTCATCCTCTCACAGCACATGAAGCAGGATAGAAAGAAAATAAGCAGACATGGGAACAGAGAGCAGTCCCTCAGCCCTGCTGGTTGGGAATCAAACACTCTTACAAACAAGATTATGAACCATGTTTACAAAGCATGCTGTCACCTCACTGTGACACATGTATGCTAAGGATTCCTTTGAATGTTTTGACCTCTGTTTTTTTGTTTGTTTGTTTTTGTTTTTCTGAGACAGGGTCTTCCTGTAGCCCCAGCTGGCCTGGAACTCACTATGTAGACCAGGGTGGCCTTGAAGTCACAGAGCTCCACCTGCCTCTGCCTCCCGAGTGCTGAGATTAAAGGCATGGGCCACCATACTTGGCACTTGACCTATGTTTTTATCTCACCTGTATACTGTACTTCAAACACTATCATATAACCTTATTTACTTTAAAAAAAAAAAAAAGGTTCTTTAGATAAAAATAAGTGCACCCAAACATTTTTATTCAATTTTTTAAATCCAATGTAACTCCAAAAGTCACAAAACTTGCATGCATAGATACTGTCAAGACACTTCAATGTGACTCTGTTGAGAAGCCCCCCTTTAAGGTATATAATACTAGCCTCCTATATCTCTCTTAATACCCCCGCTCAAAATCTACATTAAAACCTTTTCTTAGTAAACTCTAATTTAGCTTCACACTGCAGTCTGAGTCATCAATATCACCCTTCACATGAAGTGAAAGTCTCTGAACAGTCAGGCTGCTGCCGGTGGCAGGCAACATTGTAGAGCTGTCTCCAGCTTCCCCTGACACAAGGGCCCTAGATCTGGATGAGCATCCATATGGGCTCACATGCATTCATTCAGGCTGTTCCTTGCTCAGTAGCTCCTTAGAGTATCAAGCTTCTGCTGGGCCCCACCCCAGAGACTAGGACAAACATTGATGCCAGAAACATAGGGCTTTACACAAAAGTGAGCTTGCTGTGAGAGGGAATAAAGAGTAAAATGCAAAACTGGTACTTCGTGCCTTGGAGTTGAAAATTATTACCTTTGATGTTTGCTTCCAAGAACTTAATGGGGACAACTTGTTGGACAGAACTTGTCGTAGCTTCCAGGGCAACAAAGGAATGTGAAGAGAAACAAATAATCACATGTAAACATACAAAGAAAAAAACCTGTATATTGAAACTGCTATTTAAAAATATCCCTTCTTAACATTACTTCTAGACTGTGGAAATGAGTGTCTAATAGATTGTTTTCTTAACCCGTCTACCTGGAAGCAAAGCTAGAATAAAACAAAACAACAGTGTCAAACACCACAGAAACTCATACCCTAGATGTGAGCAACTGACAGTAATTGCTGGAGTGAAGTTTATCAGCAAAGGAAAGCGTTTCCTAAGCATGTGTCTAGTACAAACAAGTCAATTATTTAGTACAATTAGAAGAGAAAACCACCTGTCTGCAAATAGGGGATGGTTAACAACTGAGTTAATGAAGCGCTGGCTGTTCTTGCAGAAGACCCAGCTTTGATTCCCAGCACCCACATGGTGGCGAAAGCGTTTCCTAAGCATGTGTCTAGTACAAACAAGACGATTATTTAGTACAATTAGAAGAGTACAAATAGGGGATGGTTAACAACTGAGTTAATGAAGCACTGGCTGTTCTTGCAGAAGACCCAGCTTTGATTCCCAGCACCCACATGGTGGCTAACAACCGTCTGTAACTCCAGTTCTGGGGGGATCTGACGACTTCTTCTGACCTCTGTGGGTATTGCACAACACAGGCTCATTTACACACCTGAAGATAATATACTCATATACATAAAATAAAAATAATAAATAAAAATGGGAAAAAATAACTATCAGAAGGGCACAGTGATGCATGCCTCTGATCCCAGCACTCAGGAAGCAGAGGCAGGTGGATCTCTGTGAATATTCAAGGCCAGCCTGGTCTACATAGCAAGTTCCAGGCCAACCATGGCCACATAGTGAGACCCTATCTCAATAAGTATAAATAAACAAAAAAACAAATTCAAAGAACAAAATGAAAGTCATCTCCTGGGAGGAACAATCTTGCCCATTGCCAAAGCATAATTTGAATTAGAAATAAATATTTGTTTGTTTTTTGAGATAGCATCTCAGAGCTCAGGTTGGGCTAGAATTCTCTACGTACCCCAAGGTGGCCTCAAACTCTCAATCCTCCTGCCTCAGCCTCTTGAGTGCTGGAATTATAGGTGAATGCCACCATGCCAAGTTTAGAAAGATTAAAGGTAAAAAGACTGTCTCTTTTTTGCTGTGATACTCACTTTACTTGTGATTGAATCTATGTGGTTCTATCAGA